AAATAGCCTGAATCTGGAAGTTAGAGCTGGGTAATGTATTCACAAGTAATGTTTGTAAGTATACAAGATAATTGAGCATAACTGATCATGCTAGAATTTCTGATGGTATGGGTGGGAGAATAAAGACTTTTCCTTGAGATTATTGGAGGGACACCAGAATTTTATTCCTTGAATGTCTGTCAACCAATATAATCTCTTATACTTTGTTGACAACTGAGTTCTTCTAACTTGTTGTTCCTATATAGATACAGTTCATATAAGTTTTGGGTGAGGGAGTGCTCATTTTGTCCAATTTTCACACAGTCATCTGTGAGTCTCATTCATATAGCATTAGAGACAAGTTATTGGCAAACCTTAGTTCTGGAAATTGGTGTAAGGGATTTCTAGAAGTATGAGAGCCTGAATCCTAGGGTGGTTTGATATCAGTTGTGCACCAGTGACAACTAACTTAGGGCCCTAAGCATTTTGGTTGTTGAAAGTCAGAAGGAAGTTAAAAGGACAACAAAAAGCAGAGAGGTACTCTTCCCTGGAGGTCATGTCATGCCAGGAATGTTAAACAAGGCAAAGCTGAAGAAACATAGCTAGTGAGGGACATTAAATAGCTTTGCTTGGAAGCCTAAATTTTTTAAATGTATGATCAAAGAGAAGGGACAGTTAATACATTTTATTATGGTTCAGACATCTCTGGGTAGTACAAATGGTTAAGCACTTGACTACTAACCAAAAGCTTGACAAATTAAATCCACTCAAATGTGCCTCAGAATAAAGGTCTGGCAATCTGTTTCTGAAAGGTCACAGACATTAAAAACCCTCTAGAGTGCCCCTCTACAGTGAAACCCATGAGGTAACCATGAGTTGGAATGAATTCAGTTATGAATGATTTTACTATTATGTTGTTGTTGTTCAAGAATTACAGAATTTGGGGCTGAGGACAGACTCCCCAAATGTGGAGGCAGAGGAAAAATGTCAGATATTAAATGAGATACGCATCTTTAAGTACAAGGCATAGTGGAGGGGTGGGAGTTAAGAGTACCTTAGTTAGGTGAGATGAAGTCCAGGGCTAGAAAGTCAAGCCAAATTAAAACAACCATTCTGTCTTAAGTACAAAGCTTTATAATTAAGTGATTACACATGCCCTGCTAATAATTAAAATAATGTTGCAACAGAAAATGAGTGTTTAGGAGGAAGTCTTAGCAGAATGACCATTATTTCTGCAAAGAACTGGCCTTGCTATAGGTTAATTCCAGCAACCAACTAGGAGCAACAAAACCAAAGAAACAAATCTACTGTCATTGAGTTGATTCCCACCCTACAGGGCAGGTTACAACTGTCCCACAAGGTTTCCAAAGCTACAAATCTTAACAGAAGCAAACTGCCTCATCTTTCACCCACAGAGTGCCTGGTGAGTTTGAACCACTGACCTATTTGCAACCAAATTCCTTAACCATTGTGACACTAGAACTTCTTAGGGAACATCAGGGGTAAAGTTTACTCCATCATGCGGGCATGAGACAATACTGCCTAGGTTAGACTAGGAACAATTTACCAGGTTTGATCTCTGAGGAGACCTTGAGGAGGGAATGTGTTAAATATATTATTGCAGACTATGGGTCATATGTAACATATTTGATTGACTCTATGTGGCATACAAGTAAATGGAATTGAAATGAACAAAGAAGTATCTCCCTCCTGCAGTGTGGTAGGGAGTCCTAGAAATAGTGACCCACGTTAAAGAAATGAGATAAATGGAAAACCTACGTACATAGAGTCAGAGAAAATAAAATCCCATCTCAGAGGACATTATTCCACAGTTCCTTGAACTAAATACCCTAAGGAGTTAGTTCTTTCTAATGATTCCATCTAGGTAGGAAACATAAGTTGAATACAAGTTTGCAACACCAAGAAAGTTCTAACAGAAAATTATTTTTAAACGGCAAATAGCCTAAGGCAGTGCTCCTAATGCCAGTTAATGAACTGAAGTGTCAAATGCAAATAGTGATCTAGTGCCTTGCCCTCAGCCAGGGGAATTCCAAGATAAAGGTGAGACATATAGAACTTTCTAATGATAGCATTCTTTAGTCAGGGCAGGAGATACAAATCTCCAAAGATTTATCACAAAGCAAAATCAAATACTATTAATCCATGAAAGTTCCAATGAACAAATAGTGAAGATCATACATATAGTTGTTTTCATAAACCCTAAAATGGGGGGAGTCAGATAAAAGCACAAATGGTTGTTGAGGTAAATCTTTTAGTATAATCTTTGTGAGCATTGTAGAAATGTATATTCTTTAATACTGAGAGTAGTT